CATCTGTTATCCTTTATTCCTAGGAGGTCTTTCAGTTAGTGGAAAATACGAGAAATGATCTTATTAAACCTTGGAGGTTAGAAAAACTATATCCATTTAGCCTTTTAAATGGAGAAATTCGACTGCATACTACTATCCTTTAGAGCAAGGGTGGGGAATCTTTTTTTTCTGCCAAGGGCCATTTGTATATTTATAACATCATTCATGGGCCTTACAAAATTAACAGCTTAAAAATTAGACTGCTATATTTGGTCAGACATTTAATTAGCGCACCCCTAATGCCATGGCAGGGCCAGACCAAGTGATTTCATGAGCCTTATATGGTCTGAGGGCAGATTCTCCACCCCTTGTCTAGAGGCATCCTTCACTTCTTTTTCTTCCTCCTCCTACCACCATTCTAGTCAGTCATCAAGTGTACTTCTTCCATCCTAATACCATTTGTATTTGACTCTTTTCCATTCCCACTTCACCATCTTATCTAGGCTAATTATTCCCACTAGGATCCATCTGCACTCAGTCTTTTCTGTGCTGTAGTTGACCTTAGTACTGGTAATGGCTAATGTTTCTTGAATACCTACTGTGTACCAGGCATGGTGCTAACTGCTTTTCGTCTACTGATCATTTCAACCTTCACAACTCTCTGAGATGATGGTAGTATTTCCATTTCACAGCTAAAGAAACTGAGGCATGGATTACATAGCTAAGAGGTGGTCTCAATTCTTAAAAAGTTAATGACTTAATTAGGAGAAATAGGAAACCATTTCTTTAAATTAGAAATGCTATACTAGTCCAGAGCAGAAAGCATTTGGTCCACAGGTTGACTAAAGAGTGGTGAGAGAAAATGGAAATTTTTACAGAAGAGAGAGGGATGTAGGATATAAGAGAATAAATAGAGGTTGTATACTAGTATAAGAACATGTCAGATGGGAAAAATAATGAGTACCCCAAGGCTGAGTTTGCAAAATTGGCAAATGCTGTCAGCCAAACTAGTATTGAACTATTGCATCAGATTCATTTGGAAAGCTTTGAAAATATCGTTGGTTCCTTACCCCACCCCTGAGTTGCTTCTGAATTAGATGGTGTGAATTAGAATCTGTGGTGTTGATATTGTTGCAGACTAGGATCCACTGGCTAAAGAGAAGTATAGGGTTGACAAAGGATGCTTTTTCTGAGAAATGGTAAGAGTTTATATTGATGAATAGGTCAAATCTTAGGAAGGGCCGGGCTGAAAGAGTTCAGAGTGGAAGCAACAGAGTGAGTCACTGGGTTGGTCAGCAGAGATGTGTTAAGAGCAGACTGTTCTGGCAGCAAAATGCAGGAAGGAAAGGCTGTAATAGGAACCAAGCTATGAGACAGTTACAGGGAACCAAGTGTCATATTATCCCTATGAGAGTTTTAAAAAGGAGTGGGCCTTTTGTCAGGGCTGCTTGGTCCAGAAATATGAATTAGTAAATTTGTGGTCTGAGGTTCAACTCTGAAGCTTCAGAATCTTTTACTTACATATAATATAAAAAAGTAAAGGATTCATTTTTCAAATTGAATAAAATAAGAATTGGCATTGGAGTTACACTTCTGGTTTATACAATTAATATTTTATTTCTGAGAGGGACACTATAAGGTGATAATGTACAGCTATCTTTTTTTGGCTAACTTTAAATCTAGTTTTACTTAACAGGTAGTTATAAGCTTTCTTATAAAAAATTATTTTTAAATCTGTATTTTCCAGTTTTACTACCTACAGTTCTAATAATTTTCAGAGGTCTGCCTCACTATGTGATATTGTCAGAGATTATGACATAGCAAAAGAGGTAAAGAGCACAGGTTCTGGAATGAGAATACTTGTATTGAAGTCCCAGCTTTGCCACATACCACCTATATGACATTGGGATTTAATCCCTTTTCCCCCAGTGTCCTCATCTATAAAATGAGGATATGATAGTACCTACCACAAAATAAAATTGTTAAATGGATTAAGAGAGATAATACTTGGTTCAAAGTAACCACTGAAATTTTTGCTGTTTAGTAATGAAATAAATAGTATTTGCTTTTTAAAAATCACTGTTGGATCAGCATATAGCACAGAATTAGAGGAGGCAAGAGTAGGTATGGGGAGATCTGCTGAAAGGCCATTGCAGTAGACCAGACAAGAAGTGAAGGTAGCTAGAGCAAGTGTGGGAGTAGAGCTAGAATTGGACAGATTTGAGTGATATTAAGGTAGTAAAATTGACAGAAAACTCATGATGTGTTAAATAGAAGATCATTGAGAGAGAACAAAAGATATTCTCATAGGTTTCTGGCCAAGGCAGCTGAATGAATGGAGACCCAGTTTGGTGGGACATAGAAGGTGGGACAGGGGAAATGCTTGTTATTTTAGTTTAAGAAGCTGCTGAATGGTTCTGATGTATACCACAGTTTAAGAACATTGGATGGCGGTGTCCTAGGTGACCTTTTGAAAAGCTGTTCAAATGACAGTGGAGGTGGATACCAACCAGAGCCGTGATGGAGGTAGTGAATTGTAGACAGTTCTCAAGATATTAGCTCAGGGAAAGGGGTTAAGATAGGGGAAATGAGGATTTTTTTTTTAAGATGGGATAAACTTGCTCACATTTAAGTGATTCTGGGTTGGCTGCAATGGAGAAAGGGGTGTTGAATACACAAGAGAGAAGATAGTGGATCCTCTGTAAGAGCAATGGGATCCAAAGCTGAAGTGGAGAGAAATTGGTTTTAGTTATAAAAGAGGCACATTTAGTATAATAGGAGGGAACCAAGGAAAAGGTATGTATGTAGAGAAAAAAACCTGATTCATTGTGTGATAAGTAATGCAGCTTTGGTGACTGAATACTATGTTAGCTGTTACTGAGGAAGTGATTGGGGTTGGAACAGACCGAGGCTACATTCCTATCCGGCCTGCTGTTGGGCTAGCTCAGCCCTTTGCCTGACTTTGTCCCCTTTGGTCACTAATCTTGTGGCCTCAGCAATGCCACCCCTCATGGCCTTCACTTTCTTGGGAGTGAGTCCTGGGCCCACGGACCCCAATTGCAATGCATCTTGCATGGATTTCTTTTACTTTTTCCTGAGGCAAGGAGAACAAAACCAAACAGTTATAGTCTTTTTTAAAAATATATTTTATTGATTTTTTTACAGAGAAGAAGGGAGAGGGATAGAGAGTTAGAAACATCAATGAGAGAGAAACATCTATCAGCTGCCTCCTGCACACTCCCCACTGGGGATGTGCCCGCAACCAAGGTACATGCCCTTGCCTGGAATCGAACCTGTGACCCTTGAGTCCGCAGGCCGACGCTCTATCCACTGGTTAGAGCGTCAAACCAGTTAGGGCAACAGTTATAGTCTTGACAGCCTATTTTAATAACCAACTAGAGATACTGTGCTTAGAAATTCAATCTTCTGTAATTTTCATTTCTGATAATTGAATTTTCTAATATAGTACAGTAAAAATTTGTTTCATTTATTAGAAGTTTTTGAAGCTCATACCATGAGCCAGGCACTGTGGTAGGTACTTGTTATTTTGAATGAAATAAAATATGGCTGCCTCAAGGAGCAGAGAAAAATGATATATACATATGCACACCTGACATTTCTTTTTTTTTTTTAAGATATGGAATATTTTTGTTGTTGTTTTATTTTTTTATTGATTTCAGAGAGGAAGGGAGAGGGAGAGAGAGAGACAAACATCAATGATGAGAGGAATCATTGGTCAGCTGCCTCCTGCACGCCCCCTACTGGGGATCAAGCACACAATCTGGGCATGTGCCCTTGATCGAAATTGAAACTGGAACCTTTTAGTCCGCAGGCCGACTCTGTCCACTGAGCCAAACTGGCTAGGACTGACATTTCTTTTGATAAATGCATAGACTTTAAATTCATATATATATAAAATTGATTTTTTACAGAGAGAAAGGGAGAGGGATAGAGAGTTAGAAACATCGATGAGAGAGAAACATCGATCAGCCGCCTGTTGCACACCCCCTACTGGGGATGTGCCCGCAACCAAGGTACATGCTCTTGACCGAATCAAACCCGGGACCCCTGAGTCCGCAGGCCGACACTCTATCCACTGAGCCAAACCGGTTAGGGCTAAATGCATAGACTTTAAAATATCTAGATCTGAATCCAATTTATTTATGCAAAAAAGCCAAATTAATATCTCTTTGTTTGAGAATATCATTAAAGAGATCTTTAATCTATATATTATATAACTCAGATGTTCCTTTTTCCTTAAGCTTTGTTATTTTTTTCTTGCTGCTTCTGTAATTAAAATGCAGAATTCCTCCTTCCCCAAAAGTAAGTGTCTTTATTGTATATCAGATAATTTTAACCTGGGTTCCATAGATTTCAATATATCTGGATTAATGGCTTTGTGGGACCATGAACTTTCCACAATAATATGCAAAATTATTGAATTTTATACATAGATATTTACAGTGAAGAGGGTCCCCTTAATTTTTATCAAGTTCTCAAAGGATTCTATTATTCCAAGATATTAAGAACTACACTATTAAAATCTTCATTTAGCCCTACCTGGTTTGGCTCAGTGGATAGAGCGTCGGCCTGCGGACTCAAGGGTCCCAGGTTCGATTCCGGTCAAGGGCATGTACCTTAGTTGAGGGCACATCCCCAGTAGGGAGTGTGCAGGAGGCAGTTCATTGATGTTTCTCTCTCATTGATGTTTCTAACTCTCTATCCCTCTCCCTTCCTCTCTGTAAAAAATCAATAAAATATATTTAAAAAAATAAAATCTTCATTTAGTAGGTTTTGGCTTTTGACTATTTTATACAATTTACCATTTAGATTTTCTCACAGGAGGAAAGGGAAATTGAAAATGTAATACTTCATAATTCTACTTCTCTAAATTATGACTACAGTTTTTTATATGACTACAGTTTTTGAAGTTAACATTTAAACATAATTGTTTTTACATTTATCTAACAATATTATAATCATGCTCCAGTTTTTGTTGCAAATATTTTTTTTGTCTTTAGTACCAGGACCCTCTGGTGATAATGGCATCAGTATTACCATGATCTTAATGGCCTGGATGGTAATTGCATTGATCTTGTTTCTACTGAGACCTCCTAATCTTCGAGGATCCAATCTAACTGGGAAGCCCACCAGTCCTCATAATGTAAGTGCTGTTGATAAGAAACCCATTTGAAGAGGTGGGGTCGGGGGAGTAATGGCATGAAAGGGGGGGGGGGTTGTTTTGACCAAAAGATTTGAATTAGCAAAAGGAAGATTTAATTCATGGAGTAAGTTAAAGTTCTTCCTTTGTCATCCTAGTAAATCTTGCAACCTCAAATGGCTTAGTGTTCATAGCGTTTACATACAGAGATAAGCATAGTAACCCAAAAATAATTTAAAATAAATTCCAATTTTCACTCACATGAGAAACATTAAAAATGATTCAGCTTATGATAATCTACAGCAATATTTCTCAGATCTCAGTCCTCTTCCCCAGTTCTATCCACCTCTCACTTGATTCTTTGCCTGTCATGTTTCCAGCTCCCTGAATTCTCTTACTAGCTGCAATTGAAATGGTTTTACCCACACTCCATTTTCTCCCCTCTGTTCTAGCTATTAAATACGGTAAAGACACTGAGTCTACCTGGTTAAATCCTGTTTTCCCATCCTATTTCTCTCAAACTCATTTTTCTGATTCTGCATCACAATAATCAACTGAGCTGGCAAAAGCAGAGGTAGGAATCACTCATGTTGATAAATTTTGATAGTCATGATTACAACCATTTTTAGAATTTTCTATATGAAAGACATCACTTCATCATGTTTTCTCACGGGAGGAAAGAGAAATTGAAAATGTAATACTTCATAATCCTACTTCTACTAGAATTCTACCCAGTACAGAGTTCTCAGTACTGTCTTTACTAGAACCTCCATTAAAGGATCCCTTTTCATCATTTTTAGAATCAGCATTTATTTATTTTTTTTTTCATTCGATTTGGATATCTCTTTTAAAATATTTCTGTGATGGATTCATTTGTCGAACATCAAATTATCCCACACATTCCTTCAACCTTCACCATGTGGAATTCCTAAAATAATTGCTTCTTTTCCTTAATCCTGTGTTGTTAATATAAAAAAATTTAGTTGACCTAGTTTCTTATGTAAGAGAAAGCAAATGTGCAATGTTAATTGGTCAGTGCTTTAGTTTTTTTAGGATTAGAACATTTAGATATATAACATGCTGACTTCAGTTAAGAAAGAAGACCTCATTAGCACTATCTAAAAAAGCCTTAAATTTATTTTTGTTTTTGTCTTGGAGAGGAGATTAGCCATTAAACAGCTATCTTGATAAATTGCTTTCTCCTTAGCCCTTTTTCTTACTTTCTATATACATTTTTATTTTATATCAAAGATCTACCTCCTCATCGCTTGGAGCTAAAGAAATCCAATTTCAGCCGAAACCGGTTTGGCTCGGTGGATAGAGCGTCGGCCTGCGGACTGAGGGGTCCCGGGTTCGATTCCGGTCAGGAGCATGTGCCTGGGTTGCGGGCGCATCCCCGGTGGGGGATGTGCAGGAGGCAGCTGATCGATGTTTCTCTCTCATCGATGTTTCTGACTCTCTGTCTCTCTCCCTTCCTCTCTGTGGGAAGGATCAATAAAATATATTTTTAAAAAAAAAAAAAAGAAAAGAAATCCAATTTCATAAACTAATTTAGAAGCCATTAAAAATGACAAGATTACAGTCCTCTGAGCCTTAGGTCATTGTTAGTAGTAGTAGTCCCACTGCTCTAAGAAAAAAGAAAACATATCGAATAATTCCAAGTAGAAAAATTGACCACCCTCTCCTCGGGCCTCATAGCATGTCAGAGTAAATAAATAGAATCTTCCTGAAGATTCCTGAAGTGCTGATATTCCCTTTACAGTTCAGGTGCTTTCTATTGCAAGTTACAAAAATCAGCTCAACCTGGTTTAAATAAGTGCTTTATTGGTTTACACATCAGAAAATCCAGAGGTAGAGTCAGTGTTTAGATTTAGAAAGTTTAACAGTGCCATCAAAGACAATTCTTTCATCATACCATCAGCTTCATTTCAAGATGGGCTCCCTCTGTACTCATTAGATAGCTGCCAATAGCATCTGGAGCCATGTGCATCCTCATTGACATTCTGTAGTGAGAAACAAGTCTCGAGTTCATTTTGTACTGTACTCAATCCATCACCTTAGCAAGAGAGAAGAGACTACCTTTATTAGTTTGAATATCACCTCTGGAGCTGTTAAGGAGAGAAGTTTCATCCAAAACATACCACTGTTAAACACTTTTCCTTTCTTCCTCTCACAGGGAAGAATGAGACAAACATTGGTGAAACACTAGTTATCTAGTGTTCCCTTGTGCAAAACCGTATGAAAAACATCCTAGTAAGGATATGATTTGAGATGGGAAGGTGGGGGACACTGCTGCTCATTTCTTACTAAATGTGTTAGATTGGTTGCACTGGGATTTAAGAAGTCAGTTCTATAATTTTTCTCCAATACAGGGACAAGATCCACCAGCCCCTCCTGTGGACTAACTTTGCGACATGGGAAGTGAAAATAGTTAACACCTTGCACGACCAAATGAACGAAGATGACCAGAGTACTCTAACCCCATTAGAACTGTTCTTCCTTTTGCACCTGCAATATGGGATGGTATTGTTTTCATGAGCTTCTAGACATTTCATTTGCAAGCTTATTTTTGCCTCCTGTGTTATCACCATTCCTATTCACGGTGTATTTGAGTAAATAATTATATTTTTAAAAATTACATGGGCTTTTTGGTTACCCTAAACTCAGACATTCCATTCATTCTATTTGTAACTGTGATCACAATTTTGGTGATGACTTCTGGCCTGATTGAAGGAAATTTAAGATCTCTGCATTTAAATATTTTAAATAGTTTTGATAGATTTGAAGGTTGCTTTTTTCATGGGCTATTTATAACGTTATTTGGGGTTGTCTGAGGTTTTATGAAAGAAAATTAAAACCACACTATATTTCTACTTACCTTGGTAGTTTATTTGTGTGTGGGTAGCAGTTCTTGGGACTGTGGCAGCCTTTAGAATATTTTACAAGTTACAGCTGAAATCTGCATCATTCATTACAACTGGCTTATGTGACTAGAAAAGGAGGAGAGAATAAATTATATAACTGTTTACTAAGGTTTTCATTCCCATAAAAATGTCTAATATTAAGAAAACTTTAAATAAACATGATTTAAATATGGTGGATGATTTTCAGTCCATTATATGACATATGAAGCCACTGTATATTAACTAGCCTTACAAGGTTCATGAAAGGAGGAAAATAGTTAATTCTTTTTGCCTTTGCCAGGTATAATCTATTCAGTAATAATTTAATCTGTAATTTATTTCTTAAATGAGTGCCTCTCAGAAAGCTTCCTTTTTGTTCAGACACTTCCCTGTTAAATGAAACTCTTAAAGCTAACTGTATGGGGAGCCTGTTTGCTTACTGACATTTGAATGCTATTTGTTTATTTACTCTCTTTTCCTTTGAAGAAAAATAAATTTTGAGTATTTTGTGGTCCCTTCTGACTTTTAAAAATATTTAATAAATTCTTGGTTTACTCCAAGGGAAAAGGAGAAAAATGAGGAACAATCAAGGATTTTTTTTCTTACCCTGTATCTCATTCTTATTTTGGTAATGGAATGGATTGGGGTGGGGAAATATAGGCAAAATTTTGAACTGTATGAAAAGTAAAAGGTTGCATTGTTTTGGTTAGTTTGAAAGAAAATGAATACAAATGGCATTTTAAGAAGGCATCACCTATGTGGTTATGGAATTTTTTTCTAGCAAGTGATTACAGAGGATTTATGGGGCTAGAAGAAATTTTGCTATCAATGTAAGGAGTTCCCCCCCTAGACTTGTCTAGCTTTTCACTGTATTGATCTGATAAATTGTATGAATTGAATAAACTTCTCAAAATCGTTGTACTGTTTAAGAGTCTCTCATATAGTTGTGTGACACTCCTAGGGTATTTCCCCCCCCTTCATTACGATTATATGCTGGGCCATAAACATTGTAAGGGCTTCATTTCATTATATAATCCAATATTGACTGCTTGCATTCCTCCTGTGCATCTTGGCTTTGTGCTCAACTTCTTGAAGTAGTATAACCTATTCTTAATTACTTGTCTAATCAAGGGTATTGTAACACAGGTAAGTCAAATCCTGGATAAATAAATACCACAGACTTACGGTTTTTCCTCTTGCTGTGGCGTACTGGAAGCCTTCCCAGCTCTATAGCTACTATCGTATTTAAAGCAGAAGAGGCAGGAATGGCGTCAGATGGAGCTAAATGCATACAAGCATTCCTATTTCTGCCCTTGCCCCCCTGAACTTTGAAGGCTTACACATACAGCCTTAGTCTGTTCTCTAAACTGCTAGAAATCCTGGCAGGGATCCTGATGTATTCGCTGAATCAACGGCTCACAAATAGTTGAGGATTGGCTTTGGTAGAAGATGTGGCTGTGACATGGAAACAATGTCTAGTGTTAGAGACCTGGAAATCTGGATTCTTATTCCTAGTTCTTCATTTCTGTCACATCCACTTAATTGACAGAACATCTAGAATATTAACCTTTCCCTGTATGGATCATCTAATTAGTAACAAAAGTTTTTAGTGGAGTATTTAGTCTTGGGTTTTTTGCTTGTAAAATATCTGCAGTTCTAAAAAAAACATAGTGTGCTACTACATATAACGTAATCCTATTAACCTAAGTAGTAATTTATATTCTTTTTAATTCTTAAAGCTTCCACATGTGGCCTTTTTATTAAGCACACTCTTATTCATTACTTGGCATGTAAACATTCACCTGAATTATGGCTACAAGCATTTTTAAATAATCTGGAAAAAAGAAAAATAAATCTTCACATTTTAATCACTGTAGGCTCTTAAAACACTCCACAAATGCCATTCAGAATTTATTTTTAGAGCCATTTAATGTCCCTTTATGCAAAATAATGTTTTGTTTGTTTTTTGCTTTCCATTTGGAAAAAAAGTTAACATTGGAACTATGTTTAGTAAAAGATTTTATCATGTAGATATCCAAGCACTGTTCCTTTGGTCAGCAAGTCATATTTTAAACAACTTGTAGAGATTTTCCAAAGTAACTATGAAGTTCAGCTATTCCATAGTTACCTTTAGTGTCTTTGTGTGGTATGTAATATGATAGTGTTCATGGGATAACCAAATTCGTACATTTTCAAAGGAACATTGGGAATTTTTCACTCGGAATGAAAGTCGTCACTCTAAATGAATATGTGCTAAACTTCGACCAGCTCAGCTTAAGACATAAAATAGCAACTTGAAGGAGAAATGGGAGTTTACAGTTAATGAGTTAAATTTTTGTTGTTGAATTAGTAGGTTTAGTTTTAACATTATAATATTTCTAAATGAAAAATCATGTATTTGTTACCATGTCTGATGATTACTTTGTTAAAAGGAAAGTGGCCATATGCTATGCTAAATGTTAATTGCTGTTTTTAAATGTTTAATCATGCCAAACAAATCATGTCTGTGCCATCCAGAGTTTATTGTAATCTCTTACTGAGTACTTGGATTGGGATAAAGGGCTTGTACTATGCACTTTTTATTAATGAATAAATAGAAAATGTTAGTAACACTCGTTTTCTGTTTGGCTTTTGTTGGAAGAGAACCAAGTATCTTCTGCTTAGTTAAATGTTAACCTCCTTTATTAAACAGTTTCTTTGTAAGCCTTTTTACCCCTAACTAAAGACTTTCCTGCCTTAGCCAGTTTGGTTCAGTGGATAGAGCGTTGGCCTGAGGACTAAAGGGTCTTGGACTCGATTCCCATGAAGGGCACCTGCCTGGTTGCGGGCTCGATCCCCAGTACAGGGGCATTCAGGAGGCAGCCAATCAATGATTCTCTCTCATCATTGATGTTTCTATTTCTCCCTCTCTGAAGTCAATAAAAATATATTTAAAAAAGACTTTCCTAAAAGAGAACTTTAGGTTATATGAAATACATTAACATTATAATAGCAGTATGGGGCCTTACAATTAATCCAGCAAGTATAATTTTTGTGTTTACAACATACAGAACAGAGGTAAATCTAACACCAGGGCATACACCCCCAATAAAAGGGTTAAGATTTATCCTTGCAAAGGTTCTCAGTCTTCATTTTTATCTAACAATCTTAACGACTACACTTTATTTTGTCTCCCATTGCACCTTTGTCAATGTTCTCTTACTTTACCATTTTTACTAGCAACAGCCTATTGAAAGCTGGCAGTCTCAAGCTTCAGTCAAGCATGATTCTGTTAGCCAAAGCCAAATCAGGAAATACAAGTCTTAACAAAATCTTGGGCAGCTAAGTAGCATTGAAAATTATGGAATTGGGGTGGCGAACACACAATCTATAATAAAAGGGTAACATGCTAATTAGACTGAACATCATTCCAGATGTCCTTCCTGACGAAGACGGGTTTGAAGGGAAGCCAGCCCGGGGCCCCTGATATAGTTGTGTGACACTTCTAGGGTATCCCCCCCCCCGCCCCTTTATTATGAGGGCAGCAGGAGGAGGGAAGCAGCCTGGGTCCCAGGTGCTGGAGGGAAGCCGATGCCAGCAGCCAGGGGAAGGAAGGCCTACTCTTGCACAAATTTTCATGCATCAGGTGTCTAGCCTATAGATATATAAGCTTAAGCAACCAAACGACCAGTCGACCGGTCGCTATGATGCGCACTGACCACCAGGGGCAGACATTCAATGCAGGAGCTGCCCCCTGGTGGTCAGTACACTCCCACAGCAGGAGTGCCGCTCAGCTGATTGACCCATCCTGGTGGCCCACCAGCCCGGTGGCAGCCACTCACCCCATCAGTAGTTCTGCAGGTCCAATCTGCGGAGAATGGGCCAGGCACCAACGACCAGCACTATTGGCACAATCCCAACAGCACCACCGGCCTCCTGGAAGTCAGCCTTGGGCATCGCGACCACTTCCCCTCCCTAAATGCTCTGCAAGGAAGACGCAATATAAAAGCAGCTGCCAGGTGGTTCCTGACAACAGGCATGAATGTCAGCAGGACAGATCCGGATCCCGGGATGGCAAGGGCATCCCACCGCCCACCTGGAGGGCTGATCGCATCCCACCCCCACTCCACTCCCCTCAGGATGGGCACCAGATACAGGGCTCATGGCTGGTGAGCCTACTATCCCAATCAGGACTGACTGGGCGCAGTGGGGCCGGGATGAGCAGGAGTGGCAGGCAGGAGTGGCAGGTGGTGTTGGACTTCCAGTTTTGGCACAATCCCTGTAGGCTACACTGAGGGACCCCACCCATGCACAAATTCGTGCACTGGGCCTCTAGTATAATATGCAGATGATGCATTATAGAATTGTACCCCTAAAACCCATATAATTTTATTAACCAACTAGAGGCCCGGTGCACAAAAATCATGCCCTCAGGGAGGAGTCCCTCAGCCTGGCT